CAAGGCCAGCCTGAACTGCATAGCAAGACCCTGTCTCAAAAAGGCAAAAAAAAAAAAAAAAAAGGAATCAAAGAGGGAAGCAATAGCCAGGCTTGGTACAAGCCTGTAATCCCAGCTACTTGGAAGGCTGAGGCAGGAGGATTGCAAATTGGAAGCCAGGATGATCAATTTAGTGAGACCCTGTCTCAAAATAAAAATAAAAACTAAAGGGAGGTGGCTCAGTGGTACAGCGCTTGCCTAGCAGGCATGATGTCCTGGATTTGATCTCCAGTGATGGTTCACCAAACTGGTAGGATGTAATAGCCTACACACACACACACACACACACACACACACACACAGCTGGGAGGGAGTATAGCCCAGGACTTGCTGCATGCTGAGCAAGCGCTCTAGCCCTGAGCCACACCCCAGCCCCAGGCTACAAGGATGATGAGTACTTTGGATGTTAAAAGGATTAGAACCTCATTCAGCAACAGAGCCATTTAGGATTCTTACTAGCTAGGAATATATCTATATAGAGAGATATATATATCAAATTTTTGTGTGTTTGTCTTTTTGAGACAGGGTTTCACTATGCAGTTCAGGCTGGCCTTGAATTCATTATGTAGCCCAGGCTGGCCTCGAACTCACAGCAATCCTCCTGCCCCAGCCTTCAGAGTGCTGGGATTACAGGTGTGCACCACCACACCTGGTATTGTATGTACTTATAAGGCACCGTGCAGATGTGATGGTTTTGAGCATGATGACGAGACACATGGAGATGATATTGTCTGAGTTGGGAGACCATGGGAGAAGCAGGTCTTCTCTGCCTCTGTGTGCATGTGTGCGAGTGTGTGTGTGTGTGTGTGTGTGTGTGTGTGCACGCATGTGTGTGTAGCTGGCTAACAGATTCACTTTAGGACTTGTGGAATTTGAGAACTCATCTCCAGGCTGTGCTGTCCAACAGGCATCTAAATAATTAGGTCTCAGCTGGGCTGGTGGCACATTCCTGTAATCCCAGCACTCAGGAGGCTGAGGCAGAAGGATTGCCACAAATTTGAGGCCAGTGTGGGCTATATAGTTAGTTCAGGGGCAGTCTGAACTATACAACAAGGTCCAGTCTCAAAAAACAAAAGCAAACAAACAAACAAATTAGGTCTGCAACTGAGAGAGAAAGCTATGAATCCTCAGTGTAAAGGAGATCATTGAAGCCACAGAAGTAGATGAGACGGCCAGGGATGTAGGTTTGTGGCGCAACGCCTGCCCGGCAAGTGCGAGGCCCTGAGTTTGATTCCTGGTACCAAAAAAAAAGAAGAAGTAGATGGGAAGTCAGAGAGAAGAGTGTGAACCTGCAGAGGGGACACGTAGGTCACAGGTGCTCCTGGAGAGAAGGGCGGAGTCAGCAGTGAGGAGAAGCAGGCTTTCCAGCAGAAAGCAGGCTAGACCCACAATCCAAAGAGCTAGAGAGGGGCTGGGGATATAGCTCGGTAGCATAAGCACCTGCCTGGCAAGCGCAAGGCCCGGAGTTTGATTCCTGGTACCGCGGGGAAAAAAAAAAAAAACAAAAAAAAACAAAAAAACAGAAAGATAATGAAGGGCTGGGGAGGTGAATGAAAGCAATAGGTACTTTTTTTTTTTTTTAAGACAGAGTCTCATGTAGCACAGGCCAGCCTGGAACTTGCAATCTTTCTGCCTGGGTCTGGCAGGCGTGGGGTTAAAGGTGTCACCACACCCATGTTTAGATACTTTTTTGGACACTTCTTTACTCTTTGGAGAAATCTGATCATTAAGGAAGCAGAAAGAACACAGTAGTTTGAAAGGGTAAAAGGAAAAATGAAATTCATTCCTTCTCAGTGCTAGGAATCAAATCCGGGTCTCACACATGCTAGGCAATCTTTTTTCTTGTATAGGAGGGGCTTAATTTTAAAAATGTTTATTTAGCCGGGCGTGGTAGTACATACCTGTGATCTCAGCACTCAGGAGGCTGAGGCAGGAGAATCACTGCAAGTTCAAGGCAAGACAAAAAATAAAAATAAAGTATTGATTTATTTATTGTAGTATTGGGGTTTGAATCTGAGGCTTTCACACCGAGCTACATCCCCAGCCCTTTTTAAAACTTTTTATTTTGAGATAGGGTCTCACTTAAGTCACTAAGTTGCCAGGCCGGGCTTCAACTTGGGATTCTCCAGTTTCGGCCTCCCAGAGTGCTGGGATTACAGCCATTCACCACCATGCTCAGTTTAGGAAAGATGTGTGTACATTTGTTGGCAGAGGGAGGAAATGAGTATTAATGGAAGGGCTGACATAAGGCAAACTTCTAGGGAGAAGGGAAGAACAGAAGCGCTCATGGCGCACTGGCCTGAACAGACCTGAGACAGGAATTCAGGAAAAGCGAAAGAGTAGAAGACACTGAAGAATGAAGATGATTTTGGGACCCCACACAGGATGGCCCAGAAACTGCAGCGAGCAACCACAGCAAAGTGGGGCTCAATGCATAAAGCAAGTGGGGAAGACTAGGAATTACCCCTGGAGGAAACTGGGCCTCCCCCTCTGCCTTTCAAGTAAGCTGTGTGTCCCAGAGCAGTCGTGGGGTCATTCTGAAGGGAATGATGGAGGGTCCAGGGGACAGAGAGGAGCCGAGAGTTGGAAGGTCAGACTTACTCTAGTACATTGGCAAAAGTTAAAAAACAATATCCAATTTAACAAAAGCACAGGCAAATATCAGCTATCTGCTGCTGTTATTATTTGTGTGTGTGTGTGTGTGTGTGTGTGTGTGTGTGTGTGTGTGTGTGTTTTTTTTTTCCTTTTTTTGTCTTTTTGAGACACAGTCTCACCATGCAGTTCAGGCTGGCCTTGAGCTCACTTTGTAGCCCAGGCTAGTCTCGAACTCAGCCTCCCGAGTGCCGGGATCCTCCTGCTTCAGCCTCCTGAGTGCTGGGATTGCAGGTGTGCGCCACCACGTCCGGCTTCTTCTGGGTCAGCTTGGCCATGAACATTACAGTCTTTTCAAGTGTGTGCGCTGCTCCTCAATCCTCCACATTCAGGCCTAAGTATTCAATCTAAGTAGACATAAGATATGTACAGGTATGATCAGTGCTATTCTAATAGTACAAGCTGGGAAACAAATCAAATTTTCATTAAGGGAGTAGAATACAGTAGATGAATAGAAAATGGCTATGCAGCCACTAAAATGTATTTTTCTTTTTTCTTTTTTTGCAGCCACTAAAATGTAGAAAATCTTTTTGTTGTTGTTGTGTTTTCAGACAGGGTCTCACTTGGTAGTTCAGGCTGGTCTTAAATTCACTATGTAGCCCAAACTGACCTCAAACTCACTTTTATGCCCCTGCCTCAGCCTCCTGAGTGCGGGAGAAAGTCTTTATTGATGTGATAAGATGATCGGGACATTAGTAAATAAAAAGGGGAGCATAATTCCTAAAATAGAAGTATACTCCTGTTCTCTAGGCCTACCTCTCTCCATGCACAGACGCATACCCACATGGAGGAGAAGGAGAACAATCAGAACTCAGTTTGAGCAGTGAGGACAATAGTGTGACCAGCAGCTCAAATAAGCAAAACAGGAGAAATTCATAGTGCTAAAGATGGTGCATTCCTGTTGCGCTTGGCCCGCAAAATACCTGGGTGTGTGTCACAGGTGGCTGGACCCCGTGTGAAGCTCAGGGTGCATTTAGCTACAGATGTGGATCGGGTGCATCTCCACCTCAGAGGTGATGGGCAATACCACCGTGAAAACAGGACAGTGCAGAGACAGCCCTCCCCCCGCCCCCGAGGTCTCCTGTAGGGACAAGTCCTCCAGCGTGGGATCTACACTCCGACAGAGCTCCAAGGCCCTTGCCTTCCAAACCACAGCGCTGCCTTCTGGCTCCCTACACTGACAGCGTCCTCCTGGAGACCCCAGCGACCATTATCTTGCAACACACAGGTTTCATCTGGCCATCGGTCTTTGGTCTTTCAGCAAGTTTGATGATGCACACATCCCATCCCTTTGATTCAATAAACACTGAACACTTTTTAGTTGGTGCTGAAATTTATTATTTTTATTTTGGGGGAGTGTTAAAATTTTAAAAGAAGCATAACGAGACTTCTTAGTGAGAGGGACTTAATGCAGTTGGGGCAGTGTGAATGGATATAACAACAGAGCTCTTTGTCCTGCTGCAAATGGCTTCTGGGAAGGGGTGGAGGCTGAGGCAGGCCATGGTGAGCAGAGTGGAGAGGGAAAGAGCAAGCACAGTTGACTCTGTCAGCGCATCTGAAGAAGGGGAAAAAACAAAGCACTCTCAGCAGGGATGGTGGCCTGTAATCCCAGCACTTGGGAGGCTGAGGCAGGGTGATCATTGCAAGTTCGAGACCAGCCTGGGCTACAAAGTGAGCTCAAGGCCAGCCTGAACTGCATAGCGAGATCCTGTCTCAAAAAGACAAAAAAAAAAAAGAGCACTTTCAAAACGGTGGCCTGGAAGGGAGCATACGATGACAAAGCAGTGTTTTAGGGTATAGAGAGAAGGGTGTGTTCTCAGACTGCAGTCAGGGGAGGTGCTGTGGACAGGGGAAGCTGAAGGCTGGAGTGAGAGGCCAGGAAGAGCTGGGACAGGCACTGGGTCAGGTACAGAAGGCTCTTCCTGTACTCGTCTCTACTACAGTCCCATGTGCGCCTGCCTGTGAGCCCACCCCAATCTCTCTCCAAGTAACTCTTTGTCATTCTTTTGATCTTTGAAAACTTTTTCTTCCTCTTTGTTTTTCTATTTATTTATTTTGAGACAAGATCTCACTATGTAGCCCAGGTTGGTCTCAAACTCACTGCAATCCTTCTGCCTCAGCCTCCTGAGTGTTAGGATTACAGGCATATGCTACCATGCCCACCTATTTTAGTAGTTTTCAACCGTATAAAAATGGTTTAAGCCAGGTGTGGTGGCTCAAGCCTGTAATCCCAGCATTTGGGAGGCTGAGGCAGGAGGATTGCTGCAAGTCTGAGGCCAGGCTAGGCCACATAGTGTGTTCAAGGCCAGCCTGCAGTGCAAAGCAACACCCTGTCTCAAAGATAAATAAATCGTTTCAAAAGTTTGAAGTGTTTTAGGATTTCTTTTTTCATTAAATATGTTAAGACTTGCACACCACAATTATGCGGGGGGTTTTGCTCGTTTTTTTTTGTGTGTGTGTGTGGTAGTGGGGATTGATCCCCTGGCCTTTGCACTGAGCTACATCCCAGCTGCCTACCATTGAGACAGGGTCTCCCTAAATTGCTAAGTTGTCCACACTGGGCTCGAAATTGCGATTTCTTCCCAGAGTGCAGGGAATACAGGCCTGTGCCATCACACCCGCAGCCGTCTCAGATCACAGGGACACAGTGATTGCTCCCACTCTGCAATGTTTTTGAGTATATGAGTCACATTCTTTCTGGTAAACTGTGCCTGTGCCTTCCCTTAGGGTCAGTGTCACCACCCCAAGATACAGCTGCACGGAGATGTGGCCTGCAGGTGTCCTCGAACACCACCTTCCTGCGCCTCAGTGTCCCTCTGCGTCAGATGCCACGTGGAGGGTGAGAAATTCCCCGAGAACGGGTTATCACGCGTGCTCCCGAATTAGGGTCCACTGCAAAGACGAAGCTCAGGACCTCGCGGGTTGTGTATAGGGACAGTCGCATCGCCCCCCGTGGCCGAAATTCTCGGCTTCTCCCGCATCTCCGCGGTAGCCGGGCCCAGATGTGGCAATGACAGGCACCAGTGGCCCAAGTACACCACCCCCCGTACAAAGCGCTCAAACTTGCTCAGCTCTAGCCGGCCGCGGGAGAACAGGAGACTCACGCATGCGCAGCCCCGGAAACTGGCCGTAAATTGGTTCCTTGGATTGGTGTTTCCCACACGAGCGCTAAGTCTTGAGAACACATGCGTCCTACCTGGACTGCAGTTGGCTGGTGGCCCTGTCTATCACATAACGAGCCAATGAGGTGAGCTCGAGGAGCCACTCCCCCCCAATGGCGAGTAGAGGGACGCTGGGAGCGGCTGGGAGTCTTTGTCAGCACTCAGGGGCGAATGTAGACCTGTTCCTTGGACTGCAGGCAGCAAGCCTGGGGTGTCGGCTACCCCCGCTGCCCAACCATCGCCGCTTCTGCCCTGTTGTGGGTAGGGGAAAGAGTGAGGGTCCGGGGTAAGGATGACCGGCGCTGTGTGTCCAGCCCAACACTTACTGAGCGCCTGCTGTATGCCAGGCACACGGCCGGAGAGCTGGCATGCGGCGGGCGGCCCGCTCCGGGCTCCTTCGCCCCCTTCCGACCGCCCTTCCGCCCTTTCGCCTTAGATGGAGTTGTTCTTTCTCCGAACCCGGAACCGCTCCTCGGCCGCCCGGCAGCCCCTCCACGGCGGGAGTGGCCAGGGGCGGGCCCGGCGGGCGCGTGACCGCGTCTGTATCGCGGCTTTATTGGGCACGTGGCGGCCAAAGCGCAGTAAACAGGAGGGACTGTGGGCGGCCACGTGTGAAGGCGCGGACCCGCCCGCCCGAGCGAGGCCCTGGGGCTGTAAACGCTTGGGCCCGGGCAGAAAGCAAAGGGGTCCACGTGAATCGGCCCCGCAGGAGGCGCGAAATCCTGGGCCCCCGGCTGATCAGGACCGGCCATCAAAGAGCCGGGGTGGAGAGAAGCTGCTGGAGGCTGTATGAGCAATGACAACCACCTCTTCCTTTTGGGAAAGGGCTTTGCTTAGCCAGCTGTGAGAGGGCCGGGGACTGGACGCGCCCTTGGCCGCCCCGGGACACGCGGTGATTTAAGACTGCGCACAGGAGCAGGGATCTTGGCTCCAGGAAGAGCCACTCTGGAGCCTGGGGTGGGGTCGCCTCTTGTCCCTTCCGCGTCCGCTGTTCCTGAAACAAGTTTCCACAATCATAAAACTGGAAAGTTACTCAGCCCCTGGGACCAAAGGGTGAGTCAGAAGGGCACAAGCTACGGAGAACTGGCCTGGCCGCCCTGGCCGGCACAATCGGATACCACCCTGTGCTTCCTCTAGAACCACCTCTTTGGGGTAGGAGCCCAGGGGCTGCTAACTCTTCTGTGGGTTAATAGCTTGGCCCCGGAAAAGGGCCCTTCACCCCATTCTAACTGGCATTCCTTCCCTTTGGTCCTTCCTGCAGCAGAAAAGTAGAGGAGAAGCTGCAAAAAATTGCCACGCCTTTGAATAAGTTTTAAATAGATTCCTTGGATTCGTGGTGGTTCATGGTTTACAAAGTGCACTTTCACATGCATTATCTCATTCTAGCCTCCCTGAACACACAGTGTATGCCAGACTCTGAGCCAGACACAAACGGATGAGGCACTGCATTTTATAAGAAACCTTTAGGCTGGGTGTAGTGGTACATGCCTGTAATCCCAGCATTCTGAGAGGCTGAGACAGGAGGACTGAAAGTTCGGGTCCACCCTAGTCAATTTAGCAATTTAGGGAGACCTTTCTCAAAATAAAGCGGGGGGGGGGGGGACTTGGGTCAGTTTGAAGGCCCTGGATTCAATCCCTAGTATCACCACCACCACCACCATACACACACACACACACACACACACACACACACACACACACACACACACACACATCCTGCAGTTGTAGAGAGAAAATAGAAACCATTACATAACTTTTCCAGGTAGAATGGAAATCACACCCAGCTGGGCAGGACTGTGGAGGGAAAGAAAGTTTAACAGAAAATTATAGGAATGAAACCTCAAATGATAGGAAGGGGTTTAAAGATAGAAATAGGGGTGGCTGTAAACCCAGTGTGGTGTTGCATGCCTGTAATCCAGCACTCAGGAGGCTGAGGCAGGAGGACTGTTGTGAATTTGAGGTCAACCTAAATGAGGGAAACTGTCTCAAAAAAGTAAAAGCAAAACAAAAAAACTCAAAAAAATAGGGGTGGCAGAGTTTTTTGGTGTTCAGAACCTCTTCTGAGCTAAATAAATGCATCTGTTTTTATGTCTTTGACAAACAGCCATAGTAGCTACTTCTTAAAACCTACTAAACTCATCCTCTCCACATCTCTGTCTCACTTCCCTTACTTTTTTTCTTCCCCGGTACTGGGGATCGAACTCAGGACCTTGCACTTGCCAGGCAGGCGCTGTGCTGCTGAGCTAAATCCCCAGCCCCACTTCCCTTACTCTTATTCCTTCTTATTTCTCTTTGTGGAAGATCCTGACTTGCATACTTGCTCCCAAAACTGCATTCGTCCAGCAGATTTTCAGCATTACTCAGAAGGAATCCTTACTGGCAGCAGCTTTCAGAACTGCAGTCTAACCAAATCCCTCCTCACAAAGTCTTTGTGTCTAGGGTGCTGGGGATCCAACTCAGAGTTGGATGTGTGGTACTTGCCTGTAATCCCAGCACTTGGGTGGCTGAGGCAGGAGGGTTGCTCTGAGTTCAAGGATAGCCTGGGTTACATAGCAAGACCCTGTCTTAAAAACAAAAACAAAATGCAAAATAAAACAAAACCCAAACCAGGGCCTCTCACCTCTGAGGCAGTGTTCACAACTGAGCCACACCCCAGCCTCTTTTGATGTCCAAACATCTTTTGCAGAGTAAAATCCAAGCCTTGGTGAAGGTCCTCCACACAAGGCTTTTGCCTCTATCTTCAGCTCTGCGTGTGGTGCTTTATCTGCCTTACAGCATATGGTTTCCTAAGGGCCCCCTCGACACACTGTTCCTGTTTAAGGGATGCCTTCTCTATCCTCATTTGCCCAGGGACTCACATGTCTGAAAATCCAGCTCACTAGTTTGGACTGGATGTGCCCCCTCTCTCATCTCCGCAGCCCTCTTGTTTCAGTGTTTCCTGTCCCCTCTCCATAGATAGCCTAATGCCTAACATAACATATCATGCAGAGTTGCCACTTAATAAATGTTTGTTGCACTGGGTATGGTGGGGGGAACCTATAATCTTGGTTACTCTGGAGGCTGAGGCAGGAGGATCACAAATTTAAGGGTAGCGTGAGTAATTTAGCGAGATCCTGTCTCAAAAAATTTTTTAAAAAGCTGTGGATGTACCTTAGTGGTATAGTATGTGTGTAGCATGCATAAGGCCCTGGGTTCATTCCCCAGCACTGCAAAAACAAATAAATACATAGAAAATAAATGCTTGTGGCATTTCAGATAGAAATGTGGCACACACGAGCAGACAAGGGATTGTCAAGGCTTGGAGTGGCTATCTGTAGCTTGCCTAGTGTGCAAAGGAATGCCAAGGGTGGCATGGGCTAAGCCTGGCGAGGGTTTGTGCTGGCTCTGTGAAGGACCACCAGGTGTTCAATTATCAGAGCTGGGGCAAAGATGGGAGGATGGACTGGAGAGGGCAGGCAGGGGTTTGAGGAAACAAGTAGCTCCCAGCTGTTGTACAGAAAGACACCCAAGGACACGGTGACCAGTCAAAGCCACACACCATCAGCAGCAGAACTAGGAGCTGAACTCATTCGGGACCATGCCAAATCCAGAGCCTTTTTTCTCTGGGGCCCTGGGGATTGAATCCAGGACCTCCACAGTGAACTACATCCCTACCCTATTCCACCCCTTTTTATTGGAGACAGGGTTTTGATAAATTGACCAGCTGGGTTCAAATTTCCAATCCTGCCTCAGCTTCCCAGAGTGCTGGGATCACAGGCATCACACCCACCTAGTTTTGGAGCTCTGTGTACCCCAAAGAGTGATGCTATGTGCAGGTGAAGTGGGCATCAGGCTATCTACGAGTGGGACAGATCCTCATCAGTCAGGATAGGGTAGGTTGTTTCGCAGACATAATCTGCAATGTGTTCTCGACTGTAGCAACGTCAAGGAAACCTTGGGAACTCTAAGGACAGAGGACAAGATGACTTCACTCAAATGGCAGCTGGCAGGAGGCCTCAGTTCCTTGCCACGTGGGTCTCTCCGTAGGGTTGTTCACAACATGGCATCTGGCTTCCCCCAGGGCAAATGGTGAAACACAGGGAGATAGGTGGAAGCCTACTTATCCTTGCCATTTCTTCCACCTTCTTCATTGGTCCCACATAGCAACCATGACTCACAGGGTGGGAACAAGATAACCAGAATGCTAGACAGGCACAGGTGGAGGCCATCTCCAAAGCTGCTGCGGGGAGCCTGGTTTGGAGAGTGTCTTCTAAGCCTCTCTTCTCCCTCTGCTGAGGAAAGAGGTGAAGTCCCCCAACCTTGTGAGAGAGGAAGAGTCAACACAGATGGTGGCATTTTGCAGATGAGGATACCTGAGGCTTGAGGATACTCTGTGATTTCCCTGGCCCTCCTGTGCTCTTGCAGCAAGCTGAATGTGCAGCAACCACAGCCTTTAACCTACAGAGTGGATTTTAGGCATTTACAGGCCAGCTTCGCTGTCATACAAGGCTGCTTTGCCTTTGCAGCCTGACATGGTCAATCCAAAGGAGTGGCCAAACCCTGCTAGTAGTTTTATCTCCCATCCTTAATTAACATATAGTTTTTTTTTATTTTGAGACAGGGTCTTGCTGAACCTTAAAGTTCCCGAGGCTGGGCTTGAACTTGAGATCCTCCTGCCTCAGCCTCACACAATGCTGGGGTCACAGGTGTGCACTACCACGCCCAGGCCCTCCTGGGGCTTCTAACTGGACAACTCAGTCCAGGGATGCCTTTCTGGCAGAGCACTTGGAAGAGACTCCCACCAAGACACCTGGACATACAAGTCCTATCACAGACCACTACCCTTCCCTGCCAGGGCGAAAGCACCGGCCTGCATCTGGGCAGGCCACTCCAGCCCTTCCTTCCCCTCCTCGCCGCACCAAAGAAACCAAAGCCCACACCAAAGTATCAGAAACGTGTGTTCTTTTCTTTTAATAGTAAACCTCTTTACAACAAATATAGTGAAAGAGTTTTCAAACAAAACTCATAAGAATCTCGAGGACTTTGTCTTTTCTTATTGTGTAGAATACTAAGAAAGCATCACCATACAGCACGAAAGGAAATATTTAAAACAAATCAACAGCCACACACTTGGACTCGCCCTACCCAGGACCCAGGCGCCCCAGGAGTGTGGGTGATTGTCGGGCTTGGGGGTGGGTCACCTCCTCAGCCTGCCCACCCCTCCCTCCCTCATCCCACCCCTCCCTCCCTCCCACCCTTCCTCTGGGACTTGGATGGGAACAGCAGAGAATCCAGATTCTCCACAGGCCATCCCAGCCTCCTGCCCCCATACAAATCCCAGTCCTTCTACCAGCAGTTTAGGGGCGGGGCAAGGTCAGAGGGGAGATCAAGGAATTCCCAGGCTCCAGGTCTCCCCTCCCCTCCACAAACACCTAACTCCCCTACCTCCTGGGGTTCCAAAGAGTTAGTTAAAAATATATAGAGATATAGATATTTCTAGATACACTTTTACATCAGTTCTGTCTCCAAACAAATAAATAATCAGCAAAAGAAGGTGCATTACTTCCTTCCTGTCCAAAGGGGGAGGGCTGGGCAGGGCTGGGTCAGTCTGCTCCTTGCTGCACTGTGGGGAGGGAAGTGTGTGTTCCACCGAGGCAGGCGGCTCTCTAGCCCACTGTCCCTGAAAGCTGTGGGAACCTGGGGAGGGGAGGGGCTTGGATGACTCCAGTGGTTACTTTGGCGACTGCCCAGTCCTTCCAAGGGAGTGGGTGGAAACAAATTTGGCTTGTGAGAGGAAGAAAAAAGAAGTCCCCACTTGAGGTCTGGGCTAGCCAGGAGCCCCCGTCCCCAAGAGAAACCTTGGGGTACTGAACTGCAGAAATGTCCCATATTCATTCACAGCCTATTCCCTGCTGCCAGGGACAGAGAAGAAAGGACACACACACATCCACACAGGGTAATCAGAAGCCAGGTCTGCCCTTCCGAGCAGAGGGCAAAACTGGCAAATATTGCACCGTGAACTGCAGGGCCTCACCCCCACTCCGGGGTCATGGCGGCCAAGTTCCGCTAGAAGGTGGGCAGACTGGGCACGGGAGGGATAGCCTGAGAAGAGAAGGCCAGTCACGCAACACTTAGTGAGCACCTATCACTCAGCCACTCAGCATTACTGAATGCCTACTGTGTGCCAGGCCCATCCTGCCTGCCTGTAACACCCTGATCAAGTCCCATCAATTCCTGAAATGGCCCTAGGAACCTGCGGGAAGGCTGGACATTTTGCATCCCTGCCGGCAGCCCACTGAGTCTGAGGCGGTAAGGAAGGACCACTTCCCGGCAGAGTAAAAAGCCTTGTGAAGAAGAGGAATTGGAGTTTTGTTCTGAAAGCGGGAGGGGGTGCTCCGGGAGAGGGCACTGTGTGTCAGGTGTGGGGGTCCAGCGGACAAGTGTGTGTGGAGGCCATGGTCCCAGAGGAAAGCAGCCCTGGCAGAGTGGGGTGCAGGGAAAAGCAAAGGGCCAATTGCCAACTCCCTCTGCCTGCAGGATGGAAGCCAGAGCCAAGGGCAGGAACAGAGAAGGGAGAGAGGGACACAGAGCTGGAACCCAAGGCAGTGGAGCTGAAGAGCCCCTTGTCTCTTTGGAAACACACCTGGCCACACAGATACACAGATGTGCTCAGAGCTCCAGTCCCACAAAGATTCACAAATCCACCCCACTGGGCTCAGAGCGACACAAAGGTACACTGTGCGCGCACACACACTCGCACTCTAATACAAAGGTAAATACCAGAGGCCCTCCTGAACATGCCCGGGCACATGTGTGGTCACACACACCTCACTGGCGCTGGTTGCTTCCCAGTGTCAAGTGCCAGAATACTGAGAATGGGTCAGCAGTGGGCACAGATCCCTGCTGCAACACGGGGCCTGGTCTAACTCTAATCTCCCACAGAAGGCATGCAGGGGCACCGCCCCCTTGGACCAAGGAGCTGGGCTTGTGTGGAGGAATGGCCAGAGTCCTGCCAGCCTGCCCTTGTCACCCTCCCAGCCAGGGCGGGGGTGGGGTGGCAGCAGAGAGCACAACAGGTTCTGCCCCCACCAGGTCAGTCTCTGATCCAGCCCAGGTCACAGGACCCATTCTCCGACTGCCTCCTGGGGTACTGGGCTCCCCATGGTGGGGGCAGCAGACGGGAAGGGAGGGATGGGGAAGGGAGGAGAGGGGAGGGGAGGAAGAATAACAGCAGAAGAATCTTGTCTGTACAGTACGGGCCATTTGAGTCATTATTATTACAATATACTTTGACAAAAATAGAATCTCATTTCATATCAATACAACAACAACAACAAAAAACAGTTTCCTGGACTGTTACACCGCTAATGTTTTCCAAAGGTCACTATTTACAATTACAGTAGCCAAGAGGGGCGGTGGGATGTGGCCTAGAGGCAGTGGGACAGGAGGTAGCAGACAGTGAGGGTGCCAGAGCAGGGAGGAGGGCCGGGAGTAGGCACCAGGAGGAGGTGGGGCCGCGGGCAGCTGGACACCCCCGCCTCAGCCCCACCACCGCAGCCCACTCCCCAGGGCGGGGCGGCGTGCATGCAAGGCAGGGGACGCCCTCCCATACCTGCTCTTTGTGCCCAGCCCCAGAGCACCTCCCTGACACCTCCCTGGAGCTCCCAGCAGGGCCAGCTTGACAGGGCTGGTCCGCTGAGCTCGGGGCACTATTGCACTGTGCATCCCAGAGAAAAGGCTGGGGGCGGCGGGGCCTGGCTCACCCTCACCCAGCCCTTCTGCCTCGCCCTCTTCTTCCCCACATGTGCTCCCAGAGAGGTCGCCCTCAAAGCCCTGCCCCCGGCCTCCGATTCCCAGGCAGCCTTCCTCACCCAGAAGCTCAGCCAGCACCCATACACCCTGGGGGTGCCGCACACAGAGCCAGCGAGGGTGTCATATGAGTGTGCAGGGCACCCAGGGGCTGGGTGTGGCTGTCCGGCCCAGGTGCCTGTTGTGAGTAGCCCAGAAATGGAGGCCTCTTCCTCCTCCCATTCCCTTGAATACGAATCACCCATCAAGCCACCTTCGGGGTTTCAGTCTACTGGAGGGGTTTTTGTTGCCTGGTAGTTTTTTGGTTCTTTCCCTCTGTCTGGGAGATGGGGCGGGAGGGCTCCACGTGCAGGGCTTGGCAATCTGTCCCTTCCCCAAGGCCGACCAGGCCCCCACCCTTCCTGCAGCATATGTGTACAACGTGCAAAGTGTCCCCCCCTTCCCACAAAAAAAGAGCTTCCCACCAGTGAAAATGGTGGGGGTGAGAAGGGATGAAAGCATCCCTCTCTCTAAAGCAAGAATCCAAATTAAAAAAAATATAATAATAATAATAATAATATAATAATTATACACAAATGTAACCATCAACAGGACATGGAGCACAAGAAAGGAAGTGGGGGTCGAGCGGGAGGAGCCCAGGACAGGGGGGTGGGCGGTGAGATTGTCAACTCTTCATCAGGGAGGCTGGGAGGGGAGTGGGGACGTCACTTTAATGGCTGTGAAGAGAGGAGATGGAGAAGGGGTGTGAGGGGGCCCAGCTGCTGGGGTACCCCACTCCCCTCTCCCAGGGGCCAATGCTAGGGGTGGGCCAGCTGTGGGGCATCGAGCAGACCGGTGCTGGGGCAGATGGGCCTCTTGTGAGGTGACAAACGGACCAAGGGAGGACTGGCTGACCACAGGCCTCTCAGGAGAGAAACAGGTCGGGGCACACGGGGCAGCCCGGGGTGCAGCAGACATTGGCAGGCAGGGGAGGCGCTACAGTACCCAGGTGTCCAGCCGCATCCTCTTCACAGCCGAGCCCTCAGCCTCAGATTCTGGGGCCGGGCGCAGCAGGCCCAGCGTAGGCCCGAAGTCCCCCCGGCCGTCATCCCGGTCTCCTGTCTCATAGGATCCTCCTGCAGGGCTACTGAGACCATCACCGGGCTCCGGGCGGGCTGCCGGGAACACCGCCGCTGGAGGGGGAGGCGCAGGGCTGCGCTCTCGGCTTGGGGACACCGGTTCTGACTTGATACTGATGTGCGGGTGGGTGGTGACGGTGAGGGCAGCACCCACGTGGGGCAAGGGGCTGCCCGGGCTGTAGACAGGCAACAGGGATGGGGGACAAGGGACAGAAAGAAAGGGTTGGGTGACAGAAAAAGTGAGAAGCCACGAAGTAAGAGAGAATAGACAGTGGGGGGCGGGGATGAGAGGGAGGCACATGGGGAGACAAGAGGGAGAAGTGGCATTAGCTCTAGTTGTGTCCTGGTCATCGTCTATGGCCTGTGTCCACCACACCCACACCCCGGGGCTGGATGAGCAGGGGCCCTGCTGAGTCCCTTGAGCTTAAGGAGGGAATCAGGGCTGCCACTTAGTGCCACACAGCCTCAGGGGTCCTTGTCCCACTCCTCCCCACAAGTGCCCACGGGAAACCTCCCAAGGACTCACATGAGGTTGCCGAGAGACACGGGGACCAGGTGGGGCTGCGGCTGAGATGGCTGTGGAGGCTGCGGAGGCTGCGGCGGCTGTGGCTGTGGCGGCTGTGGCTGCGGAGGTTGCGGCTGCTGGGGCTGCTGCGGCTGCTGCCAGGCAGTGACGTTGCCTAGTGACAGCCCCCCTGGCGAACTGAAGGCCGGTAAGGAGGAGAGCTCTCCACTGGTCAACTGGTAATCTGCAGCGGGAGAAGGCAAGGAGGAGCCTGGAGAGGGAGCCACTAGGAGGACCATGGAGATGAGGGGACAGGTGGTGTTTAATGACAGATGTGAGGAATTCGAGAAACCCATAAAAATTCAGTGAAGATGGCACTCAGCAAAATGCAAGTCATAATAACAGGAGGTGCTGTATTTTTAACAGGATGAAGAGAAATGGTTTTTAAAACAGTAAACTTTAAAAAAAAAAATCATGTGTAGGTATCACTTTTATCAAGACAATTATCAAGGGGTGTGGTGACGCACACCTGTAATCCCAGCACTCAGGAGGCTGAGGCAGGATTATTGAGAGTTTGTGTAGCCTGGACTACACAGTGAGTTCAAGGCCACCCTAAACTATACAGCAAGACCCTGCCTGAAAAAAATATATATATGTATAATGACAATTACAAAAGAAAACTGGACAGAAGGATAATAAGGAAAGTCGAATTATGTCTGTCATCCCTCCACCTGCCAAGTCTTTCTGAGGCAGTAGGAGCCATGCAGGCCAACAGGCAAGGGGGGCCAGGAAGCAACTCTGCAACTACCATTCCCCAAATGTCTTCAGACTATCAATGACCTAAGAAGGGGCTCAAGGCACTGTGCCCACAGACAAGAAGACATGCAGGGCTTCCTGGGTGTGGACTGGAGCTCCCCACGCTGAGGTTCTGGGCAATGCCCAGAAGCGCATTCATTCCTTCCTCAATTGTCTATCCAAGGAGGACGCTGATGCCTGCACTGCCACAGAACAGACGGAGCCAGGACAGGGTCACAGTACGCACAGCTCCATGAAACTGCAGGGTGCATCTTGTCTGGGGCAGTGCAGCAGAAGCCTTCCCCGAGAGATACAGGGATGCTTCACTGTGACAGCAGAGGACATGTTGGGAAGGGGCACAGCCCCGGCATCCCCACCTACACCACACTGCTGCTAGTCCAGAGGTCTGGGCTCTAGCCCTGTCTATATAAGGAAGACAGAAGGAACGTGCACAACTCAGCGGGGAAGTTAAAGGGCTGAGCTTTGAGGCCAACGTCACATGACCTGGGGCAAGCTGCGTACTCTCTGCTCTAGGGAGGCAGGGGCAGATCCTCCCCACAGGCACAGCTGCTGGCAGGACACAGGGAGCTCCACACAGAGGCATGCACAGTACCGTCTGGCTCAGATTTTCCTAGCAATGCTTTACTGACGAAGCAGCTGCAGCCTCAGGGGTGAGGACCTGCCTGTGTCGTGGAGCCCGTGGCAGGGCTCAGAGGAGCCCCAGGACGCTCTGTGACCTCTAAACCTCATTCCAGAGGTGGCCCATGCTTGCAACTCATTTTATGATGTTGACTGTGAGTTCTGAGATGCTTATACTTAAAAAGCTGAACAAGGTCAAAAATGGGCGCAGGACTGAGTATTTCTAACTTTTATTTGCAAATCCGGCATGGTGGTGCATGCCTGTAATCCCAGCACTCAGGAGGCTGAGGCAGGAGGATTACCGTGAGTTTGAAGCCAGCCTGGGCTGCACAGTAAAGCTCAAGGGCAGCCTGAACTATACAATGAGACCCTGTTTCAAAAAAAAAAAAAAAAAAAATCTACGAGAGTTCGTCCACTGAACATTCACGGACACTTTTTTTTTCTTCTCAGTACCGAGAATCAAACTCATGACCTGTGCTTGCCAGGCAGGCACTGTGCCGCTGAGCTAAATTCCCAGCCCCATTCATGGATGGACATTTCTAACTTACATTTGCAAATAAAGAAGCCAGGCCCAGCACAGGCAGTGTCGTGCTGAGGTAGCTGAGGGACTGGACAGTAGAGACCCAACTCAGTCCTGCCTCTGCCCACCGGACTCCAGGTGGAGTCTACCCAGAGGAAGCCTGGCTCCTGGAGGCCAGGAGTATGGCCTTAGGCCACGAGGAGCACCGCCCCCCAGAGCCACCACAGCCAACCTGTGTAGCGGGTATCAACAAGGAGCCAGGCCCACCTCTTGCCCAAGACAGTACCGCAGTCAGATCACCCCAGCCCGAACTTGAACTGACACCAAGACTGTAAATAGCAATGTGGTCACTGGGCTTTGTTTATACACCTAGGGTCACCTGAAAACACCTGCTGTCTACCCTGAGGTCTACTTAGCTACTCCTGCCTCCTCTTGAGTGGGTGTGAGAAGGAAGAGTCCTGAAGGCTGTGCCGCTGAGCACCTGTCTCAGGTCTACCAGTAGCAACTGGCTTCACAGGCTGCAGGACCAGAAGACCATGGAAACCTACCACAGTGGATTTCCACTTCATGAGCAGCTTCTAACAAGTGGTCTGGGTTGCCCTCCACCAGCCATTCCGCCTGGCCCGGCCTTGGGAGCCAGCCTTTCTCACTGGCCCCCTCAGCCTTGGTTACCCACTGCTCTGAGGGGCAGGGCTCAGCTTACAGGGTGCCACGCTGAGGCTGGAGACTTAAGAATGCGGGAGTGGATGTGCACAGCCAAGGGACAAGGAGCTCACAGACCTTCATGCCACAGTCTGCCCTCTCAACATGAATCGGGTCCTCCCACTCACTCACTCGTCACCAGAGAGGCCTTGTACTACACAGGGCTGGGAGGGAGGAGAGGTACAGCTGTGCGGTCTGTACTGGCACCTAGTGCCTCATCTGCTTCCGCTCTGGGATGGAGGCTATGATGGAAGCAGCTCAGGGTCCTCTGGTAGTCTGCCCCTGTCACAGGAACAGCCCTAATGCAAGCGAGTCACGTGAGAGAACTGGAGGGAGGCAGACGGCCCCTCAGGGGTAAGCACCCAGCTTTGCCAGCCAGGTACGGGCCGTAACACCAGGTGATGAGCACTTCCCTCACTGGGAAGTCCTTCCTGACACAGCAGCCCGGCTGAGACTGTGACAGACTGTACCAGCAGGTGTAGGTGTGAGTGGGTGACACAAGCCAGGACAGCCCTGGGACCAGGATGGGCTGGGCACTGGGCGTCCTGTCTGAATTCTAACCAGAGGCGTCTTCCAAGTCCTCAAGTGCTTCTTTTCCTTCAGATCCGCCTCCTCAACCTTCACCAGTCTTTGGCCTCTCTTCCTCATGACTCCCCCACTAAGCCAACACGAGAAAGTCCCTTCTCCCTCCTCTGCCTTGCCCAGGAAGCTGGCAAATCCAGCCAGGCACACTGCTGCCTGGGCTTCCTCCTCAGCCTGTCTCCTCTCCCCTCATGCCTTCATGCTCCTCAGGGAAGCCTTTTCAGCACTGACTTTGTCTGCCCGCCCATTCTCCACAGCTGGGATCTAGGGCTTGGCAGCCTGAATCATCCGCTATGCCTACCTCCATCCTATCTCCCTCCAGTGAGGCTCCCTGTGGACAAGGCCTCCCCTCCACTAGGCTCTATGTTAAAGATTAAGAATGCTGGGCCGGGGTATAGCTCAGCGGCGCAGTGTCTGCCTGGCAAGTGCAAGGTCTTGAGTTTGATTCCTGGTACAAAAAAAAAAAAAAAAAATGCCTAGGTGAGTTGGAGTTTCAGATAAAACTATGCATAGCTATTGTAACTTTCTTCAGTAGCCCAAGCTGCATTTCCCAGATGCAGCATGTATTTTTATTTTTGCTTTTACCCTCTTTTTCTCTTTACTTGGCCCAAGCTCACTCTGTACAGCAGTTTCTCTCCCACTCTTCACTTTTACTTTCTCAAATAAACTTGGCCACTGCTTAAAAAACAAAAACAAAAACCCACAATATTTTTAGCAGAAGTGTCTTTGGTGCGTGCTTTAGCAGAGAAATGTCTTTGGAATAAAACTAAAAAGTACATGTTTTGTCTAAAATTCAGATCTAGCAACTCTAATTAGATGGGGACTCCCCAAAATCAATGGCCTTCCTAAGACTTTGAACTCCCAGTGTACCTGGTTGCCCCTCCTCAGCCCACTTACCCATCCCAGCCCCAATGCACTCACCTGTGCTGTAGGCAGTGGGCATAGAAGAGAAGGGGAGGCCCTGGCTGAGTAAACTCGGTGTTGCCACGGAAACCACAGGGGTGGTGAGCGAGTGGGTAGACTGGGAGACCCCAAGGCGCTGGGCATTGTTCTGTGGGAGAAAATTGGCTGTCAGGAGGTAGCAGATGGGGGGCTACCTTGGGCTGGCCCTCCATGCCAAGCCCAGGCTGCAGGACCTCCATCCCAAGGCTGGGGGGGCACGTTAGCATGGAGGCCCTGTAGACACGTGAACACTGGCTGCCCACTTGGGAGACACGGAGGCCATGAAGAGAAACGTGCTCACTCGCACAGGTTCCTTGGCACCTAAATGTGCACAGAGGAAGGCACACACACTGGCCAGAACCATGCTGGGCCTGAGCTCCCGGGCCACAGCCTTCTCCTCTGGTCAGGCCTGCCGAGTCCACCCTGCATTGCTGCACTGCAGCATACACCCCTGGAGAGGCATGCATGTGTCTGGGAGGGGACCACGGGGCCTGGCATGTCGTGTGCCTGCGTGTATGCACACACGTGTGTGGGGCTGTCAGCTCCATCTGCCGCTGAGTCACTTGTTTATTCCAACTCCACGCTGGGGCCGAAACTGCCACCGTGTTGGCCGCCAATGCCAGCCTGCCTTTTCCAGCCTCTCTGGCCTCCCATCAGGGAGCTGGGGAGGGAGGAGCCCCCGCCCCATTCCAGGCTGAGGGTGTGCATGTTCGTGTGCATGTGCGTGTGTGTGTGTGTGTGACAGAGAAAGAGAACTCCACCCTTGGTTTGGGCCTCAGCTTCCCCTGGCAGAGCACCGTTACTGTCTGGCTGGCACCCTTGCCAAGGAGCTCCCTATCCTGGGTCCCAGGAGTACTGTGTAGGCCTCAGTGGAGTTGGTGGGCTGGTGGCATCCGAAGTCCTAACCCAGGCATCAGGGTTGGGACCTCTGAGGCCTGGGGATGGCTTTACTCCCCTTTGCACAGATGCACACACACATACACACACATATACACACTCCTGAATGAATGCAGCATCACATGAAGATATCCATGAGCACACAGTACATGGCATGCATGTTCAATCCTCACCCCCCTAGTCACCCCAGCATGAGCACAGCTCCTAGCAAATACTCAAGTCAACACCGCACATGCCGCACGCAGGCAGAAGGACAGGACATACACATCATGCTGGAGGACTGCAGGGCAGTGGCTGACCCGGAATTCAGAGGCACAGCAAATGTCTCACAGCCTCACTTACCAGATCTAAATGGTCCTCAGTCTGGGAGCAGAAATAAAACCAAGGGGGTGGCTCAGTCTCTGGCCTCTACCCACCCCCACAGCCACCCGCCCAACTTTCTGCCCCAGGGCAGGTGCTCTCCACGGCCAAGTGACTTCTCTAAGACACCACATCCCGCCTCCACTGGGGAGACACCATCCCCATCACAAGTTTCTAGTCCCCACCTCACCCTCCAGTCATTCTCCCATCATAGGATGTTCTCCCCACCTCTGTCCCTTTCTACTGCCCTTACGCTAGTTAGTACTTCTACATTCCAGCCTCCTGACAGGCCTCGGAGAAAAAGCCCTCATCAAAAGCCTGCTTCCATGATCTCCCTTGGGAGTCCCAGGCAGGCTGACTGTTACGTTCCTGCCAGAGGCCTGGTCCTTCCTCTTTTGCCCTCCTGTTCCTGAGTCAAGGCCCAGACACTCACTCACCAAGTGGTGCATTAATCCCTTTCCTCCCTGGGAGGTGATGACCCTCAGGTCAGGCTTGCGGCTGGGGGCTCCAAGCTGGGCACTGTGGGCAGGCGGGGGTGGAGACTTGGCAGGGATGACCTTGTTCAGGCTGTTGCCATTGGCCACAGGGAGGAGGCCAGGGGAAGCCCGGGCACTAACATAGCCATTCCCTAGAGAAGAAAGGAGATGAGGGGAAGGAAAAGTATGGGCCACCCCTTGGCCTTGCCAGTATGTCCCCACACTGCCACCCAAAATCTCTCAAGCCACTGTGCCTCTGTTTAGATGCTGAGCTGTCTGGTATTCACTAAAGCCTTCCTTTCCATCTTGGGCATGAAAGAAAAGATTCTTGCTCCTACACCACTTGGGTTTGCTTCTGGCTTCCAAGTGACGTGAGAGAGGAGCAGTATGGTGGGGCTACAGCAATGCAAAGCAACCACTGCCTCTGCCCCATGGTGGACAACAGACCTGAGACCAAGCCTCTCCCCACATGCTCTCCTTTGTCTCCAGATCCCACAACCTGCGCTGGACATGATGCACAATGACCAGGATGGGGAAAGGGTAGGAGCCTGGAACCTACCCACTCAAACTGCTTCCTGTGCCGTGAGTTGGGGACACTAGGGTCTATACTGGCCTGCAGGAGACAAGTCATTCACTGGTGCTGATGGCGTGGGCTGGCACTGGGGAAGGGATGACACAGCTACCACCATAATTAGACTGGTAACAACAGGAATAGTAACTCTTTCACATCTGGTCTATACTACACAATGTCCATAGGCCTTTCACATACATATTATCTCATTGAATCCTCACATTTACCCTGCAAAATGGACAGGACACATATCATTAGCTCTGTTTACAGAAGAGGGGACTTGAGCCTGGCTGGGAGAGGTACAATGACTTATCCAAGGCCAAACAGCTGGCTGGAGGGCTCGCTTGTGCTCCCCGCATGCTGGACTCCCAGTTCCCTCTGCATCACTATTTCCTTGAGGTCTGCAAACATTTCTTGGCCCTCTTCTCGGACAGAGAGGGGATTCACACACCACACCAATTTCCTGACCCTAGTACACAACTGCTGCCAGAGCATGCTATCGCTCTGACAGTGTGTGGCTGCCTCCATCGGGGAATGGCAGGAATGTCAGCGTGACGTAAATGGTGACATTAGAAGTCAGTCACCCCACTGGACAGTGGCACAGGGCAGGAGGGTCTGTCAGCTGCTGGGACTGAGGGAAGAGGGCAGTCTTTCTCCCGTAGCTTACGTGTATGTGCTCACAAGTACACATCAAGTATCTGGCTGTTCTGTAAGTATGAGACAGTGTGTGTGGATGTGCGAGTGTGTACCTATTGTACCACTAAACCAGTGGTGGCGAACTTATGGCATGCATGCCAAAGCAGACATTTGTTACCACTGAAAGCTCTAAAAGGTTCGCCATCACTGCTCTAAGTGCTCTCACTCTCCAGGTCCTAACCAGAAAGCCCTACTCAACCGGAAACACTCAGATCTACTGCTCCAGAAAGAGTCCACTTTTACAGCCTGCCCAGTCCTCACCAAACCCAGACCTTTGTTGACCACCCACACTGATCAGTGCCACACACACCAGGCACCAGGGGCTTAGAGATCCTGACTCCCCATCTGGTCAGGCACTGGGATTGTCCTCTCCTTACCTCACAGAAGGGCAGCTATACTCACCGACAGGGCTGGGACAGGCTCCATTAGCACTGGTGAGGTCGCCCCCCAGCATGGCCCCTGGGGAAAAGCACAACTATTATGAGCTGATGATATCCTACCTTCCCAAGTGAGTTTTAAAGGTGAAACAGAAAAAGGGGACCCCAAGACCTAAGTCCTTCCCTCAGCAGCCACAAAAGTGTGGGAATCCTGTGGTGGGTGACTCACTGTGCAAGATGAAATCCCAGTGTCCTTGCCACTCCAGCAGCCCACTCACCTGCACTAGCTGGCCGCTGGGGCAGGCCTGGAGACACGCTGTTCCTCTGTAGTGCTGGCTGCTGAGGGGACAGGAGCCGTGGGTCTGTGAGGGATGATGTCACCAGGGAAGGGGTGACCAGGGAGCCGCTGGGATTGGTGAACTGCAGTGAGCTCTGATTGGACACGGGCACCGTGACAGGCATGGCAAAGTTGGGGGCCGGGACAGCTGACTAGACAGAAAGACAGAGGGGCAGAGTCAGGCCAGGTCAGTCCTTGCCCCTGGACCCACCCTGCCTTGGAGGGCAGGCAAGGGTTCGTCAGGGTTCTGAGCTATGCGTCCTGGAGCCAGCAGCTTCAGCATCTACACTTAGCCCTCTTGCCACTCCCACCAAGGAACAACATTAGAGGGTCCTCTGGGGTCCATCTCTGGCCCCGAGGATGAGAATGAGGCTCTGCTCACTATAGCAGAACCAGGGACACCCCCTGGTTGGGGCAGGTTAGTCCTCAGCCAGGCAGGACACACTGGGAGCGGGTTAGAGGCCGAGTATGGACCTGAATTCACACACACAACTGTTAAGGCCTGTGCCACGGGTCAGGACCCGGCTCTGCTTGCGGTCCACTGGCCTGGTATAGTCAGAGCTCAGTCTCTGCTTCCTCTAGGCAAATCCCAGCCTTAGACAGGGTCTTCTCCCCAGGATGACTGTGCTAGAGCACACTCCACCTTCCTGTCCTCTTAATGTCCTCTGAGTGTCACTATATACTCCCTACTGGTAAAGGGGACACCACACCCCTCCAGCTCCTGCTCCACTGAGATGAGTCGAGGCAAGGGTCAAGGTCCTCCGTGGTCACTCCTAGCCCCAGCACGGCTCAGAGCGGACACGCATCAGAGGCAGCAGACGGCCGGGGCGGGGCGCAAAGCCACACCATGCACCACGGGAGGCGCCCTCCACGCGACTACTCACGGCCAGTCTATAACTCTGCATCATTTTATCAAATTCCTCGTCTATCTTTTTATATTTCTCTTCCGTCTGGGGGGTCAGGGCAAACACCTCGTCCACCTCAGGACTCTCACACTCCCTGTGCTTCTTGTGCAGCGCCTGGGGGAAGGGGCCAGGAGGGGCCAACAGAGAGACAGTGAGTGGGGCTCACCCCGTAGCGCCGGAAGAGCCCGTCCAGCTCCTCGCTGGCGCGCCGGTACTTGTCCTCCAGCAGGGGGCTCTGTTCCAGCGAGTCCTCCCCATCGGGCTCTGGGCTGTCGCAGCCGTTGAACCCCTTCTTCCTCAGGGTCTGCAACCGCACCACTACCATCAGCCAGTGAGGGTCTCCCCACCCACCTTCCCTGGCCCCCAGCTTCAGGGCCTCCTCCCCTCCCCAGGAGCCTGAGTGAAGGTGGCTTGGTGCTGGGAATGTGAGAATGGAGGGCCCACAGGGGAGCTAAGCCAGCCCCGGGGAGTGCTAGGCATAGGGGTAGTGGCACGGAAAGGGGCTCAGCAAAGGGTGGCTGGAAGACACCCTTGCTAAGGCCTGACCAGGAGGCTCTTTGGGCTGGGGGGTTCCGCCCATCCCAATACATGGACCCCTGAAGGATGAGGAGAGAGAAATGGGGACAGAGATAGAACAGGAGAGAGATGAGATGTAGGAAAGCAAAGATACCTGCTGTAACCCAGGGCAGTGCTTTGCATGCTCCAGACCCCACAGGTATTTGCTTTGTTTTTTAATTTTCTGCAAATGTCTAATCAGGCCTATGGCTTCCCAGATACCCTCTTCATCTACACAAGTTCTGTCCCAAAGCTGCGTGCACCTTAGGGTGAGCTGCAGGCCCTGGGCTGCCTCGTGCTATCCCTGGTGCACCCTTCAAAGCAGGCACTACTCTGTTTGTGGAAGGGGACACCACGGTTCAGGGAGGCCAAACACCTGCCCAATGCCACATGGCCGGTAACGGCCAGAGCTGAGTTCCAAAGCTTGTGTCCTTCAACAGTTCACAATGTCGGCTCTCTTTGAAACAAAACATACAGTCATGGGGACCCATAGAGAGACAGAGACAGAGCAGGAAAGATGGAAAGAAAGAGGGAGACAAAAACCAGAGGAGGCCAGGCATGGTGGCGTATGCCTATAATCCCAGCACTCGGGAGGCTGAGGCAGGAGGATTGTTGCAAGTTCCAGACCAGCCTGGGCTACAAAGTGAGCTCAAGGCCAGCCTGAACTGCATATCGAGACCCTGTCTCAAAAAGACAAAAAAAAAAACCCCAGAGGAGTCCGATGCAGGAGCCGACCAAAAGGAGGAGAAAGGGAAAAGGTAGCAAGAGGGTGCCTGAGAGGAGACAGCACAGGGGGTCTTGTCAGGCCTGGCAGACAGGAGACAGACTTCCCCGAGGGTGGGTGGGTGGGCGGCCTAGGCACTCTCAGACACACGCGCCACTCCCTGCTCCCCAGGCTGGGTCTGTGAGGGGAGGGGCTATGAGAGCAGGCCCACCTCGATAATGTCAGCGTTGGTACGGCTCTCATGTGGCTCGTTGTACTCGGTGTACTTGAGCAGCACCTTGTCCATGTCAGTGCTGGCGTACTGAAACAGCTTGTTGGAGTGGTTGAAGATGATGAGGGCGATCTCACAGTCGCACAGCACGCTCAGCTCGTACGCTTTCTTCATCAGCCCGAACTTCCGCTTGGTGAAGGTCACCTGCAGGAGGGCAATGGGCAGCTAGGTCTGGCTCAGTAGAGCTCCCCCAAGAGTCCTAGGGATTCCCCATCCTCAGGGTGACACAGGAGCTCCTGTTGGGGGACAGAATGGCTAGCATCTCCTGGCCAGCACAGGGCCAGGACAAGGCCAGAGCCAGCTCCTGGAAGGGAAAGCATGGAGACGGCCAGCATGGCGCAGCTCTGTCCTGGGAAAGAGCTCCTGGGATGAGGAGGGAGAAAGATCCATTCTGGGACTGGGCAGTCCCAGGTGTGGCCTGAGGCGGGCACATGGTTCCAGAGCTATAGCACAGCCTCCAGTTCTGGGACACGGATCCAAAAGATGCAGGGGGGGCAGCTGCTTTTCTCCCAGCTCAGACCATCCTGTTCTGTCACAGCCTCCAGAGCACCTCCTCTTCCAAAAAGACCTCCAGGAGAGCCCTGTCCTCACCACTCTGTGGGGCTCTAGGTCTTCCTTACCTGTCGGTTCCGCTCATCGGTGATTCGCTGGATCTGGATCTTTTTCCTCCCCATCTTCTCCAGAGGTCCTCAGTGCTGGGGAGGGGAGGGGCTGTAGGGTGCAGGTCTTGGTGTACCTCACGCTGTGCTCATGAACGTCCGGGACCCACGCTCAGTTCATGGTCTGCAGGACACCTTCTGTATAGCCTCCTGGAACAGAAAGGTCATGAGGGGGCTGTCAGGTCCCTGGCACCCAGCTTTTTGATCCCTGGGACACAAGCCAGACTCATAGCACCCTGTGAGAGGCTGGCATATCTCAGCCCCACACTGCGCTGGCTACCTAGGCAAGGTAGCCATGCTGAGCACTCAGGCTCCAGACGAGACAGGATATGCAGTTCCTGGCTGCTGAGGGTCTGGATCCTAGAGAATGCCCTTAGCCCTTCTTTTCGTAGATTGTGGGGTTCCCCAGTTGCCCTGCCTAGGCCAGGGGTTCCCATGCTGCACTCTGGTGTGGCAAGCACAATGGGTAAACATCTGCCCAGGACACCAGGTGACAGGGCAGCGGTCTCTGGTGCCTTGGCTCAAGAACAGACAGCAGTGGTCCTCACACAAGCTCACAAGGCCTGGAGCCTGGAGACATAAGACCCTCACCTCTGCTGGGTGTGGTGGTACAGATGTATAATCCCAGCACCTGGGAGGCCGAGGCAGGAGTAGTTCTGGGAGTTTAAGGCCATCCTGGGCTACGTTGTGAGTTCAAGAGCACCATGAACTACACAGCAAGACCCTGTCTCAAAAGAAAAGACCTCCAACTCCCTTCAACCAGAGATATTCCACAACAATTTGTTTTACCTAGCAGTCTTAGGCCTAAAATTTGTTTGAAGAAAGGGCTCTGCTACTAAAGTGAACAAACAAGCCACGCCTCTAGATCAGAAGTAGACATTTTTTTTTTCCTTCTATGGTGCTGGGATGGACCCCTGGGTTCCATGCATGCTAGGCATGTGTTCTACTCCCACCAGGCCACCCCCAGCCCTGGGAAATTTTTTCTGTAAAGGGCCTTGAGCTCACTTTGCAGCCCAGGCTGGCCTCAAACTCGCAATGATCCTCCTGCCTCAGCCTCCTGAGTGCTGGGATTACAGGCGTGCGCCACCACATCCAGCTAAGAGTACTAAAATTATGAGTGCATAAAGGGACACAGTCCCCCTCCACAGCCCCATCCTGTCTGACAGGTCTAGGCCAATCCCAGAGGCCGGGCTGACTGAGCAGTACTTCTTGACTGGCCAACTGACACACTAGCAAGGGCACTGGCAGTCAGGGGATAGGGCATCAGTCGGTCTCCATTTCAGAACACCCTCACCCGCCCCAGCCCACTGGATGAACAGCTGTGTAGCAAACAGCCTCTTCCCTGCACAACTCCAGGGGACACCGCAGGATGGGAAGGGCACAGGGAGAGAGCCAAGAAAGGTGAATGCAGGCTGGGCATGGTGGCACATGCCTGTAATCCCAGCACTGAGGAGGCTGAGGCAGGAGGATCATTGTGAGTTCTAGGCCAGCATGGGCTACAAAGTGAGCTCAAGGCTAGCCTGAACTGCATAGTGGGAACCTGTCTCAAAAAGACAAAAGGAGAAAAAAAAAAAAAAGGTGAATGCTCTCAAGTGTGGCCAGGGCCACACAGGCTGTGTGAGCCTCTGGGGACTAGAGGAGCCAGGACAGGACAAAGATGACCTGATGGCCACTTCGGCTCTGTCATTCCAGGAGTCCTTGCATCAAGGATGAAGTTTTCTGGGAAATGGTAGAGAAGGGCATGATCGCACCACCACCTACTTGTGGTCCTGGGGATTGAACCCAGCGCCTCATGCAGGCTGAGCAAACATCCTACCACTGAGCTACAATATCAGCCTTTTTTGATTATTTAACTTTGAGACACTGTCTCACTAATTTGCCCACGCTAGCCTTGAACCTGAGATCCTCCTGCCTCAGCCTCTTGAGTAGCTGAGACTATAGATGAGCATCACAGCCCCCAGAGGCCCCTTGGGGGCACAAAGACATGCACAAAGCCCCCTTGCTTTCTAAAGCCTCTCTAGATGGGTCCTGCAAGGAGGATGGAACAGAGAAGTCCAGCTCCACCCACAGAACTCTTCCTCCAGAAAGCACCCCCTCAGACACTACTGCAGAGTGTAGGGAGGAGAGGCCTGGGTTCTGTCCACCTCCCCTCCCAGCTGGGTGAAGCTATCCTGAGGTAGAGATGACAGAGAATGTCCCATACACACTGCCATGGCTCCTGAGCTTCTTTCAACCTTTCTAACTCCATTCCACAGGGCCCCCAAGTGCCATAGCAGGTACCGAAGTCAGCCCAGCATCCTGGCCATTGAGGAAAGAGGCTGAGGGAGGGATGGGAGTGTAGAATTGGCTGCCAGACAACCCTGCCCATTTTCCCATCACAGGACCAGACCCTCAGGCTTCCCCAGCCCTGCTGGAGCTCTGCCCAGAGAGCTACAGAAAACAAGGAAGCTCCTGCCCCTCCTCCAAAGACCCTCTACCATCTGCTCCCTCAGAGCGCGAACCCAGACCTCTGTTCTCCGGGTGCTCCCTGAGCCCTGGGCCTGCTACAATTCCTACACACAAATCCTGGGCAGGAACAGCAGCAGCCCCAAGGGATCCAGCACACATCTCAGCCCAGAACCAGTGCCAGCTGCCCCATTCCTTGCCTGTTACCCCCACCTTTGCCAAAGTGCTCTGCAAAGACTCCAGGCAGAGGATTTCATCCCCCGCTTAGTACACTCCATGGACTGTGCTTTCAGAGCTGTAGCACGGTGGGATGGCAGGGCACTCAAGGGCAAGGGGATCAGGAGGAGCTGGCTTTTTACACTGGGTCCCCTGGCCTGGGTTCTCTGGAAGGACCGCACTCAGGCTGAGGATCTGTCCACATTTCCCTCACCACCTCTGTTCAGAAGCAGACCTGCTGAGGTGAATCTCGATCCATTACAGTCAGGACCATCACTTCTTCCCAGCTGAGAAAGAACCCTCCCCTTGTTCTTGTGATACCCCAAAAAGACACTCTTGTGGTGTTTCTAGCATTTGTCACACTGTAAATAATTACAATTCTGTCCTTCTATTTAATGCTACCTTCCCCTATGAGTCTGAAACTTCGTAAGGGCAGGAACTACATGTCTTTCCCACTATTCCATCTTCTGACAGGAGCTCAAGGGCTGTCTGTAGAAAGAAAAGACGGTTTCACTCTTCAGATCCCTGTGAGCAGTCCTTCTTACAGTCTAACTTCTGTCAGGCCTGCTGCAGCATCAGCTCCTCTTTGTCCTCTATGTGGCCAGAACCCTTCCTCACCCAGCTGCCCTTGAAGCTTGTCTGTTTGGACACCACCCAGCCTCCCACCACCCCTGCCATCGCAGTCCTCAACCTTCCCCACCCTCAGCTTGGCTGGTGCAGAGGGTGAGACTCTAAAGTCTTCTAAGGAGCAGCCCTAAGCACATGGAGATGGAGAGGATGGAGTTGCTTAGGCAACTGTCGCCTGGCAACCAGCTCCCTAGCTGATCTCCTACACCGCCCCCCCCCACCCCCGCCTCATGCTGGGGGAGCTGGGATGCAAGAGGGATCAGGGCTGAGCAGGCAGGGAAGCCACAGAGACCCATTGAGCATCCGCTGATAGAAGGGAAGTCAGGGCTAAAAAGACCAAGCCCCATCTATTCCCACTTCCTCCAAGAGAGCTCAAAGTACTTTTTTACAATTCCATGCTTCCCAGGGCCCTTTCCCTATTACTGTCCCCCACTCTGTGTGAACACCACCTGAGGAGATGTCCTATCTAACCACACCCTCCTACGAAGCAGGCGCAGTCCCCACTACCTCTTTCCCCACTTCTATCCATTCCACATTGCTGCAGGTTCTTCGGAGCCCTGGGGCAAGAACATGAATTCAACCATGACTTTGGAGGAAGGGCGGCTGAGCCCAGATGGGCACTGAGGACCCTAACCTGACCCTATCCAGGGTGTGGAGGTCTATCCCATCCAAGCTTCCCTCCTACCTCATCAGAGAGATTTTTAATGAACACCTGGACCTCCTTAATTAGCCCTCTGCCTAATTACCTAACCAGCTGCCAGGAGCCAGAGGCCTGGGCATCTGTTCTCCAGATGTGTGCTCTCCACCCCAGCCTGGCCTGGCCCTATTCCTCGTCTCCGCTCCTCCTGTCCATTCCTCTAGGCAGCCCTCTCCAGGACCTGGCCCTTTGGCTGCTTCTCCTCTAACCCTTTCTCCTTCACTCTGCCTGGTATCCACAGCCCTGTGCTTGGGAGGACCTGAACTATAAAAGAGACACCTTCAGCTCTGATGGCTCCAGGGCCTGCCCCCTCCCAACCTCAGGCCACAGCCATGACCTCCTGAAGCTGGCGCTATCCCATGTCACACAAGTACTCCTCCAAAGTCTCCCTGGACAGGGCAAATCTTGGCAGAACAGACCTCCTGGGACCTGGTGGGACAAGCAGGCCTTTCTGATGGAGGTGCAGGAGCATGGAGAGGGCAGGTAGACTTGGCCCAAGTCTGAGGGAAAGGGCAGCAGCGGGGAAGTCTTGCAAACAGAACAGGAGGAACTGGCAAGAGCAGGACAAGGCCAGCTAGCTGAAGACACCAGAGAGTGCATAGGATACAGAAGGACCCCACAGGCAGCCATTTTTCACACTGGGTTACAGACCCAATAGGAATTGTGGGTTGTTTATATGCAAATCAAGTTCGAATGTAATGCAAAAGGAACCTAAAGGGGGACTGGTTTAGAGGGGCCATGGGAGAAGAAACAGGCCCTGGCCTCCCCAGTGTAACACCTCTTGGTACCTGAGCAATATTCAAACCACTCTCGGGTTTCAGAATGATGCTATCTCAGTTCCTGTGTGAGGGTGGCCTGGGCGGTGGGGGGCAGTCAGGGGGCCACACTGCAGCCGGCTGAGCGGGGCTGTTCTTCTTGGGGGTCTGCAGGAGGGCTGCTTTCCACTCACACCTCTGCTTCTCCCTCACAGCTTTCTAGCCCTGTTGGCTCTCTGTCCCAAGGCTGGAGCTCTCAGAGGAACGGTAGGGTACCTATTTTCAAAGATCTACTGCCAGTGTGGGTCAACATGGGCAGATGCCCAGAGAGGCTGAGTGTGCACCCTGCGTCACAGAGCAATGGGTCTCAACCTGCTCTTCCCTGGTGAGAAAGGGAACTCTCATTAAGC